CTTTAACCCCGTCATTTTTCAAAGAGCACTCAATGATATACTTTGGTCACACATAGGCATCAGATGGTACGTTTAAATAGATGATATTATTATATTTAGTAAAAATAAAGAACACTTCAAAAATTTGAAGACTATTTTTTAAAAAACTTTAGAAACAGCTAATATGAACATTAAATTTGACAACAAAATTATTATAATTATTATAAATTTTTAATGATGGCATATGAGCAAACCCTAAAAAGGTAGAAACTATTACAAAAATCCCCGCTCTAAACAGATTAAAACAATTAAGATCATTCCTAGGTATGACAGGTTATTACAGAAAATTTATTCAAGTCTAAGGTAAAATAGCAAATCCGCTTACAAATCTCCTCAGAGTCTTATATTACTAAGATCATCTCAAATATCAAATTAATTACCATTACTCAAGAATAATTAAATAAAATAAAAAGCTGACTTATTTATGGAGATGTAATTCTCCCCCATCCTGATTTTAATAAAGAATTTGAACTCATCACAGAGGCATCAGAATAAAGGTGAGACTATTCATTCTCAGCCAGAAAATTTCAACGATCACTTTACAATTCTTGACACTGTCGTAAATGCTTTAGTAAACAAATTATACTAGATGAAAACAAGGAAACTGAAGCAGTAAATGTTTTCAAAAACAAGCGAATTTTTATAGACAAGGAAAATATTTCCTCCGGAAACGTTACCAATATAATAAGAAGACACTTTAATAGAGGAAAAATAGCAATATTTTCTAAACTCAATAATTATTATTACAAGTTACAGCAAACTCTATTAAGTTCCTTTTCAAATACAAAAAGTATATCTTTCGTAAAGTGCAGCTATTTTGCATCAGACTTAGAAGAAGAAACAGAACTCAAAAAACAAATATCATTATTTCACAAACTTGAAGTCGGACATTCAGGAATTATACCGACATATGAGGGAATAAAACACAAAATCTATCATCCGCAACTAAAAATAAAAATACATGAAATAATTAACAATTGCGATATATGCAATGGTGGGAAATATGATCGTAATCCAATAAAGCCTAAATTTCAAATAACAGAAACACCAAATACGATCAATGAAATTGTTCATGTAGATACTTATGTCAATAGTAAAGTATCATTTGTAGTGTTTATAGACAAGTTTTCAAAACATGTTGTGTATTTTCATTTACCAGATAAAAATAATCAAACGATAATCGGGAAGATAAATCAATTTTTAGCCATTAAGGGACACTTAAAAAAGTTTGTCTTTGCCAATGAGTTCAACTCAAGAAATGTGCGAGATTTTCTAACTACAGAAGGTATAGAGTATCATGTTACCAAACCGAATAGCCATACAGGGAACTCTGATATTGAAAGATTAAATAATACCATTATTGAACGGATTAGAACATTAAATTTAGAACAAAAACGTCCCATCGCTTCTCAAATGTGTAATGCCGTTAGATTTTACAATAATTCTTGTTGAAAATATTCGCTTTTAACATTGCGGCAACACTTATTGTTGTACATTTCTTATTTTATCATTTTACTTTTGTTTTGCCTCTCTCTTGCGTTTTTAAACCTCGTGGAGTAATCACGTTTTTCTTTTTTTCTAAAATCTGAATTGGAGTAATAAAATACTAATATTAAATGAATGCACGTCTTTTTTATTTCATAAATCTAAGTTACAATAATCAAATTTCAACAATTCGTATCATAGCACTATAAAAACTTCACCATTAGAAGTTCAAAACAACAAGGTGGAACATAGTATCATTAAAGAAAGAATACATCAAATGAAAAACAGAACAATTTTTAAGCAAAATCTAAACCGAGAAAACTATGTAGAAAACAGGGAAGAAGGTTTTATAAAGAATTATAGGAACGTTAGACATAAAGAAAGAACCTAAATTTATAAAAAGAATTCTAAAAAATGTTCACATGTCAAACATTAAAAGACCCTCTAAATTTAGTAAACATTAGCGGAAAATATTATAATTATAAAGAAAATACCTTGCTCAAGGAACTAGAATTAAGTAAGAATTGTATATTTTCTAACTCATGCCAATATAAAATAAACAATAAAAAATGCTGTAAATTTAAGCCTATTCCAAAATTGTACAAAAAGGAAAGTAATTTTGAATAAAAATAATTTAATTAATTTTGCAAACTGTCAAATAAAAATTTCAAACATTGAATGTAATAATCATAAAAAGGAATTGTATAATTTTTTTGTTTTTTCTTTCCTTACTTCTCACATACATTTATAATAACGAGATCCAGGAGTATCTCGAATCAAGGGGTAGAGGAGTTACATTCTCTTATCTTATCCCCTATATTAAATATTTTATTATCGTTGTTTGATTTAATCAAACAACGAAATATCTAAATTGCATCCTACTAAAAATATTATTATCGTTGTTCGGCTTAACCAAACAACGAATTGTCTTATCAGGATTCAATACTTCGAATCCTCACAGTTAGTCTTAAGATTCATTTAATAAAGTAAGCATTAAACTTAAGTTTTGTGCGTTTTAATCAAATATATAATTCGCGTGTTGACATTGTTATTGTATTTAATCAATAACTAGAAATTAGTTTATAGAATAAACAAAATAATTTGTAAGGGCAGCTGACATTGCTATAATAAATAATAATTACATTCCATTAAAATTTTGTAAAATAAGCAAAATAATTTGTAAGTGCAGTGCACAAGCAAATATTAATAAAATATTTAATATTCAATAAAGAAATTTAGATGTAATAATAGATGTATAGCGCAACATCAAATTCAAATGTAAACAAACAATAAATTATTTTATTTTATTTTTGAAAGTGCTTATGCACAATTTATTTTATAGCAACCTAATTTTTGACTAATGAAATATGTAATGTGATCGCACACGGAAGAACCACCGCAATGCAAGTAGAATACTTGGTCATAGCAAGTATGCAATTACTATTTGACACTTTTCTTTTCTGTGCTACTATTCTGCACATGTCGATATGACACACTTGAATGTGTCATAATATTTTCTAAGCATTGACGTGGGTCAACCTTTTTAGTGCCGCCGCAATTAAAATTAATAGGAAAAATATTGTAAATTATAGTAAAATATTTTGTATAAATAGTTTGGAAAATTATTAATAAAATTCAGATTTGGAACTGAGCTCAAGCAGCTTACACTAAATCTCATTTTTTTTTATTTTTGTCTCGGCATTCTCAGATGCCTACTAATGAGCAGATTTCTTCCTGCTAATTCAATTAGAAGAAACTAATAAAGTCGAAAGAAAAATCTAATAAAAATAAAAACAAATATAATAAATTTGTGTATCAAAACAAATTTATTATTACACCTGTTGTGAGTTAAATAATTAGCTTATTTAATTTGAATATTTGACAATTTTTCCGTATAGTATTTTATTTGTGTACGATCAATTAAGATCGTGGAATTTGTGGAATTTGTTATTTAATTGATTTAATCAAATCATACATGTTAAAGAAGCTATTAAATTAGACAATAAGAAAAACCAACAACAATAGCAACATTAGGTACCAGCGGAAACAAGCCGCTTCATTACTTGTTCTTGATTGCATCAATAGGATTAGGATACATGCTCGTATTAGGCAGGAATAACTGTTCATATATATTACGTCTCACGTTATTTGGAGATCTTGCTTACAATAGCAATGCTAGCGCTAAGCGATGAGGATATAGTAATTAAATCCATGGATAAAAATAAATTCAAAGAAATGTTAAATAAGTTGCAATGTGAAAAGAAAAATGAAAATCGACAAAAATTAAAAATATTGTTATACAAGAAACCAAAAAACATAGCGGACATCATGACAAGATTCAGATTAATTGAGGAATATCATGACAATTATCATAGCGGATATTTAGGAGTTCGCAAAACTTTTACCAAATTAAAGCAAAAATACACGGAAAAAGATGAAACAAATGGTACATAAATATATTAGTACTTGTGAAAAATGCCAACGAAACTTTCGAAATAGAAATCGACAGTTGGGCCATTAAGACCATAAAGATTCATATTAACTATGCTATGTGATTTAAGTCGATTCATAATTGCATACCCAATCATAAACAAAGAAGCCAAAACAATAGCTAAAACTTTAGTAGAACAACTCATATTTAAATTCGGCTCCTTATAGATTTTAAAATCTGATAGAGGAACAGAATTCGTAAATAAATTGCTAGCTACAGTTACAGAAATTTTGGATATTAAACAAATTTTCTCGACCCCATACCATCATGAAACGGCAGGAACAATAGAAAGAAACCATAGAGTACTTAAGGAATATTTACTAAAATTTGCTAATGTAATGTGATATGGGTCACACAACGTATAAGTGCTTCAAATAAATTTAAAGTAAACATTGACACAGTTATATTTTTAATAAAATTAACAATAAATTATTTTCAGTAACATCCTGCTAGATCTTTATTACATTATTATATATGTTAGAACTCCACTCCATACCCAAAGGTTAATGTGTGTAAAATGTTTGTAAACTTGCTTTGGTCGTTGCAACCGTGCAGCTATAATTAGAAAATGCAACCCAGTGCACACATGAACTGTCAGTTCATGTGTCAGCTGATGGTCATTTGTGCTTGGCTTTTGTTTTCGAGTTCCGGTAGAGGCAAGGCGGTTGTCACGACCAAAAGTAAGTGAAAAAATAATTAATTTTAAGTATTAGAAATTAATAAATTTGTTTTAAGATTTTAAAGCATTACATTACATTACATTACATTACATTACATCACATTACATCACATACACACAAATAACTTGTTTTGCTATTAAAATTTGGTCAACAACAACACTAATTAAAAAATAACAAACCTTAAAATTTTTGTGGCAAGCTGTAAAAATCTTGCGGTAATCGAGAAAAGAAAATAGTGTGGCGATTTGCCTGGAAAGAAATCCGAAAAAATCCTTTTAATCGGGAACACATATAAAAAGAAAAATATGTCATCCGGCAGCCAGAAGTCGACTGTACAATGTGCCGTATGCAAAAAGGTGAAGACTGGAAAGATGGTGCAATGCGACGCATGTGACCAATGGAGTCATTTTGCATGCGTGGGCGTGGACGACAGCATTGCAAACCTGCCGTGGAGTTGCGATAAATGCAACACGGTAGTGCAGGTTTCACAAGAGGTTCCAGATAAGGCACCAAGTGAGGAGGACTTGGTAAGTAAGGGCGGTTCAATCATGTCAAGAAACAGCATGAGAATCGAACTGCAGTACTTAGAAGAGCAAAGAAAAGCCGAAATGAAATATATAGAAAAGAAACGTACAATAATGCTGAAGTATGTAGGCGAGGATGATGTTAAGGGTGAAGGCATGAGTGAGGTAAGGACACATAGGACGTTAGAATGGGTGAAGAAACAGGTTGGTATGAACAACGATGACAGCAAACCAAACGTAGGTTGTGGTGTTCAGTTGGGTGGTTCAGCTGATAGGGCGGAAGCCCAAGCAGTATCGAAAGTTATACCGGCGCTGATGATAGAACAAATTAATGCGCGTCATGTCGTTCCACGAGATTTGCCTATATTTACCGGAAAGCCGGAAGAGTGGCCACTTTTCTACAGCAGTTTCAGCAATTCAACACGTTTATGCGGTTTCAGTGAAGACGAGAATCTTTTACGATTGCAACGTGCCCTTAAGGGTAAGGCACTTGAATATGTTAGCAGTAGGCTCATGATACCAGCATTAGTGCCGGAAATAATGTCAACTCTTCAAATGGTATTTGGAAGACCAGAACACATAATCAATAACTTAATTACTAAAATTCGAGCAGTGTACATTAATATAAATAAATTGGACACAATTGTTACGTTCGCCTTAGAGGTAAAAAATTTGATTGCAACTATGGAGGCTTCAGAGTTACATTCACACTTAGTGAACCCGTTGCTTATCCAAGAGCTTGTAGAAAAACTACCACCGCAAATGCGATTGCAGTGGGCTGTTGCATCGCGTAATATCAATGTAACACTTAAAACATTCGGCAACTGGATATATGAACTAGCAGAAGCAGCAAGTAATGTATCGCCCGTTTTTAGTGCTGGAGCCAGTGTAGATAATGAAAGGCGCAAAGCGCAACGCATTAATTTTCACGAAGAAGAACCTCAGGGTGCAGTAGGCGATAAGCACAAAATTCTAGCATGCTTTTATTGCAAGGAGGCACATGTGTTAAAAAGGTGTGCAAAGTTTAGAACACTAAAAACAGACGCGAGGTGGAACGTAGTGCGTGAAATGAGACTGTGTGGAAGATCTCTACTGCAGCATGATTTTCGAACGTACAAGAGGACCCGAGAGTGCGGTATACACAATTGCAACATGAAACATCACCCATTGCTACATAAACAAACAAGTTCAACTGCAAGTGGGGCAAATGAAACGTTGGCGGTTCATCATCAACTAACTTCACAAGCGCTGTACAGAATTGTTCCAGTTACAATATATGGAAATGGTGTTACCTGCAACATTTATGCCTTTCTGGATGACGGATCTGGTCCAACGTTAATAGAAAAAGACGTATTAAGACAACTGCGGATTAAAGGTGAAACGAAAGATCTTTGTTTACGATGGACAAATGGTACGGTACGCAAGGAACCTGATTCTGAGCTGGTCAACCTGCAAGTCTCCAAAATACGCGAAGGTAAAAGGTATTCGTTGTGCAATGTGCGTTCAGTAGCTAAGCTGGAGCTACCCGAGCAATCTTTAAATATGACAGAACTTACCGATAAGTATAAACACTTAAAGGGACTACCAGTAGAATCGTATCAAAACGTTAGGCCTCGAATGATAATCGGCCTAAGCAATAAAGAGGTAGCTATGCCAATGAAGTTCAGAGAGGGAGGCAAGAATGAGCCAGCTGCAACGAAAACTCGACTCGGGTGGACCATATATGGAATAATTAAGCACGAACCTAATACTATTAGGGAAACGTTAAATTTACACATCTGTGAATGCGATGATGATCTAAGTTTGCAGCGTTTAGTGAAAGATTTTGTCAGTAATGAAAACGTTATTGAAAGTAAGAAAAAACTAGAAAATATGGAGTTGGAACAACAAAAAAGTATGCAATCAAAAATAAGTCGAAATGGTGAATACTTTGTAGCAAGATTGCTTTGGAAATCAAATAACATTACTATGCCGGATAATTACTTAATGGCGTTGCGTAGACTTCAGTGCTTTGAGCGCAAGCTGCAATCCAATGTAACATTGCAAAGCTGGGTATGTGATCACATCGATGACATGAAGGCGAAAGGTTATATACGCCAGCTGAAACCTAACGAAGCCGAGGGGTATTATCCACGTAAATGGTACTTACCGATGTTTACAGTCAGTAATCCGAATAAACCACAAAAGCAAAGACTAGTGTGGGATGCAGCTGCACAATATGACGGAGTCTCGTTAAATGCGTGTTTGGAGAAAGGTCCAGATCTGCTCACTTCGTTGGTAGATGTTCTTGTTAATTTCAGAATCGGAAAAATTGGTATAAGTGGCGACATTAAAGAGATGTTTCATCGAGTACTCGTGAAAGAAGAAGATCAACATTCACAACGCTTCCTGTGGAGAAATTGTGACGATAGCAGACCACCAGACGTTTATTTGCTACAAGTTATGAGTTTTGGGGCAACATGTTCACCATCGTTGGCACAACTGGTAAAAAATAGTAATGCACGCGAATACGAAACCGAGTTTCCGCGAGCAGTGAAATGTATTTTACAAAGGCATTATGTAGATGACATGCTGGATAGCGTCGACACAGTGGAGGAAGCGATTAATCTAGTCAATGAGGTTAGAAATATTCATAAGAAAGCAAATTTCCATATTCGCAATTGGGTTTCAAATTCTAAGGCAGTGCTGAAAGCTATAGGTAACCAAGGCCAGGAATTTCAATTTTGCTCGGCCGGAAGGCGTATAGACCATACATTTGAGGCAGAGAAGGTATTGGGAATCCATTGGCAAACCGACGCTGATATGCTCACATTTGATCTGAAGTTTACCAAAGCCACTGAGGATGTTCTAAGTGGATATAGATTACCTACGAAGAGAGAGTTGCTACGATTGATGATGTCAATATTCGACCCTTTAGGGATGCTTACCTTTTACATTATTGACGTAAAAATTTTGTTTCAAAAAGTTTGGCGAAGTGGAGTTAGCTGGGATGACGCTATTCCTAATGAGCTAGTTGATGAGTGGAACAAATGGCTGTCGCTGCTTGGCGGTGTGAAAAATGTGAAGATACCGAGATGTTACTTCGCTACGGTTAATAAGGATGCAGACTCCATTGAATTGCATGTCTTTGTGGACGCAAGTGAGGTTGCATATGCAGCGGTGGTGTACCTAAGAGCGAAGAATCGCAACAACATAGATGTTTCCTTGATATGTTCTAAAGCAAAAGTTGCACCATTACGACCAATATCAATTCCAAGACTGGAACTACTCGCGGCGGAATTGGGAGCACGCTTAGGAAACAACATAAAAAGGGCAATAGACTTGAAAGTGACCAGTATAACGTATTGGAGCGATTCAAAGGCTGTTCTATCGTGGATAAAATCTGACCCACGAGATTACAAACAATTTGTAATGTTCCGCATAGCAGAAATCCAGGAGTTGTCCGAAGCAGAACAATGGCGGTACATTCCTACAAAATTAAATGTTGCGGACTTGGCTACAAAACAAACTAGTAATCTAGACTTTACTTGGAAAAACCCTTGGTATAAGGGACCGAAGTTCCTGTATGAAGCAGAAACTTGTTGGCCAAATAATGTTGGCGTACAGAAATATAACGAAGATGCTGAAATCAGAAAGCAACGATTGTTGGTGGCTCATGTAGCAGAGGAGGAACCTCTCATAGATGTCTACCGATTTTCAAAGTGGGAACGTTTAGTTCGATGCATGGCCTATGTGAAAAGATTTATGTCTTTACTATCAACTAATGAAATGAAAAAGAAGAAATCTGTAAACCAATGCTTGTCAGTTGAGGAACTGAAATGGAGTGAAAATTTCTTGTACCAAACAGCCCAGTTACAGGATTACAAGAAAGAAATGACTGCATTAAGTAGAGACGCTAATATTACTCTTTCTAAAATTAGCCCTTTGCGAAAACTTTCACCATTCATAGATGCACAGAATGTTTTAAGATTAAAAGGTAGATTAGATAAAGCCGTATGCATCGATGATTCAACCAAATTCCCAATTATACTATCAAGGAAAAACTACATAACTAAGTTGATCGTAGACTGGTATCATCGAAAATGGAAACATCTAAATCATGAAACGGTGGTTAACGAAATCTTTCAGAAATACCACATTCCGGGACTGCGTAGACTGTTAAAGCAGGTAAGAAATAATTGCCAACATTGCAAGGTTCGCGATGCGAGTCCAAAGCCGCCGGAGATGAGTGTGTTACCAGAAGCACGACTATCAGCATACTCCCGACCATTCTCACATGTTGGAATAGATTATTTTGGCCCGTATACTGTAACAGTAGGAAGACGCTCAGAGAAGCGCTATGGCGTCGTTTTTACATGCCTTACGTGTCGAGCAGTGCATTTGGAGATAGCTTATAGCCTGTCAGCCAGCTCGTTTTGTATAGTGATACGAAATTTCATAGCCCGAAGAGGAGTGCCGAATGTCATCTATAGTGACAATGGAACCAACTTAACAGCAGCTGAAAAGGAGTTACGAGAAGCAATAAAGAACGTGAACTTCAATGAATTGCAAGCTGAATTTACAAGTCCGGAAACACAATGGGTTTTTCTTCCACCAGCTGCGCCGCACATGGGTGGAGCGTGGGAGCGGATGGTGCGATCCATAAAAACAGTGTTAGGAGCAATAATAAGCCCGCAAGCAAAAATTAATGATGAAAAGATGCATAACCTGTTCTGCGAGGTAGAATCAATCATAAATAGCAGACCGCTCACTTATTTGTCGATTGAAACAGCAAGCGAAGAAGCGTTAACTCCGAATCATTTCTTGTTGGGGTCATCTTCCGGGAACAAGCCGCCGGGGAAGTTCGATACTAACGACGAGCACGTGAAATCCTCCTGGAGGCATTCGCAATACCTTGCCGATCGGTTCTGGAAAAAATGGATACAAGAGGTGCTTCCAACGATGACAAGACGGACGAAATGGTTTGGTAAGATAAAACCCATCGAAGCAGGTGATGTCGTCATTATTGTTGACCCAAATTCTCCTCGCTACACATGGCCGAAAGGAATTGTAATTAGTGCCATTAAAGCAAGGGACGGGCAGACCAGGAGCGCCATAGTGCAGACTACTCGAGGGCAATATCATAGACCTGCTGCAAAATTAGCCGTATTAGATGTTCGTGGAGCGGCAGTTTAGAGTAAGTCGTATTCTTATTAAAGAGATACTGGGGGGAGAATGTTAGAACTCCACTCCATACCCAAAGGTTAATGTGTGTAAAATGTTTGTAAACTTGCTTTGGTCGTTGCAACCGTGCAGCTATAATTAGAAAATGCAACCCAGTGCACACATGAACTGTCAGTTCATGTGTCAGCTGATGGTCATTTGTGCTTGGCTTTTGTTTTCGAGTTCCGGTAGAGGCAAGGCGGTTGTCACGACCAAAAGTAAGTGAAAAAATAATTAATTTTAAGTATTAGAAATTAATAAATTTGTTTTAAGATTTTAAAGCATTACATTACATTACATTACATTACATTACATCACATTACATCACATACACACAAATAACTTGTTTTGCTATTAAAATTTGGTCAACAACAACACTAATTAAAAAATAACAATATATTATATATTTTATATATTATATATATTATATATTATATATATTATATATTATATATTATATATATTATATATAATTTTCACTTAAGCGTGCAACACGACACTGGCGACGAGGATAAAACGCAAAAATTTAAGAAAATTTTTGCTACAAAATTAAAAGAGAATTTTTTCAATTTAATAAAAGTGAAAAAGTGAATAAATTAAAAAATGGAAAAACTATTTTACAACATAAAAAGAATTATAATAATACAAATAAAAACAATTATAAGTGAAATGAAACCTTTTCCTTGCGGATTTTGCGAACTAGATTTTGATACAAGTGAAGAACGAGAACTTGTAAGGATCAAATTTAACATACAAATTTAAACCCCACTAACTAAGTGGACAATAAAAACAATAGAACAATAGAATTCACGTAGTTCACTCACTTATTTCTGCTATGAAAAACCAATCAATAGAATTGTAGTGCAAAATAGCACCTTGCTTACTCGAAATGTTTCTTGTCGCTTGCAATGGGTAAAATTTAGGGTGCAAAATAGCACCTTGCTTACTCGAAATGTTTCTTGTCGCCTGTAAATTTTGTATAAAAGGAAGAAAAATTGTGGCTTTCGTTCTATTTGTGATTTGACACCATTGCAGGTAAGTCGTGTAAGGAATATTAATAGCTCAATTCAAGTGACCTGGACACATGTGGCACGTTTGGCCTTTGCTGACGGTCATCAGGTGGACAGTTGAGATTGGATGAGCCAGTTGACATTGGTTGAGTTACCTTTCGTTTGGCCTTTGCTGACGAGGGATAGCTTGGCCAACCAATCGGATTTCCACTTGGCCATTGCTGATGGAAAGCTGAATGACGAGTCACCAGCATTGTATTAGGAGTGTGTTAGGGACAACAGTGGGAGCTCGGACTAGTTGGTCTGGACACATGACGATTCGTCTGGCCAGTGCTGACGGTCACCATGTGGATGGACGGACAAGTCTGGGTGAAGTGATAATGGGTGAGCTGCCTCCAGTCTGGCTATAGCTGGCATAAAGCAGCCCAACCAGTCACCGGGACCACCATCTGGCCAAAGCTGATGGAGGAGCGGATGACGAGCCACCAACACTGTTAGGAGACGTGCAGGAGATACGAGCGTTTGGCAATTGGTGACGAGCGTGCTCAGGCATAGCACCAGTGGCAGGGACCTTCCCCTGGCTCTAGCTGGCGAGAGTACGCATCAGTTCCACCGTTTTCTATTAGAGCTATTTGTGATTTGACACCATCGCAGGCCGTACCTTACTTGGGTTTGTACAACGCTTCAGCAATTCAACGCTTCTGTTTTATCCAACGCCTTAACAATCCAACGCTTCCGGTTTGTCCAACGCCTCAGCAATTCAACGCTTCTGTTTAATCCAACGCCTCAACAATCCAACGCTTCCGGTTTGTCTAACGCCTCAGCAATTTAACGCCTCTGTTTTATCCAACGCCTCAATAATCCAACGCTTCCGATTTGTCCAACGCTTCAACAATCCAACGCTTCCGGTTTGTCCAACGCCTCAGCAATTTAACGCTTCTGGTTTGTCCAACGCCTCAACAATCCAACGCTTCCGGTTTGTCCAGCCCTCTCATCGGATATAACGACTCCAGCAATCAACGCTTTGGTTTTAGTTAATCTCTAACTTTAAAAATTCTCATTAATTCTAATAAACATCATCCTAAAAATACGAAACACAGTGTCTCCTGTTCTTATTTAAAATTTTTTTAACGTACCCCTGGTATACTCGCTGAGTTATACCCGGCTGAAGATAGGGCCGAAAAAGTTCGTTACAAACTTCACTTAAAAATACATAATCTTTGTGGCTTTTGCGAAAAGGATTTTAAATCAAAAAAAAATTTAAAAGACCATCAAAACTCTCACAAAACCTCGTTCGAAAAAGCAGAGAGATTAACCAAAAAAATAAATAGTGCAATAGTGAAGCAGGCAAAAAAGCCATCGCCTATATGAAAAAAAACGGGTATTATTAGAAAAAAAATATATAATTGTATTCAAATGAACACTGTAAAAGATCTAATAAATAAATCAAAAGGATACACAAAACTAAAATACTGTGAAAAGTGAGGGAGCAGTTTACATAACATCAAACAGTGCCAATAATAATAAACAAGACAAGCAGCGAACCAGCAACAAGTAACAACAATCAACCAGCCGACAATAAAATAAACGGACCAAAAAGGGAAGTCAGAAATTTTATTTTTCTTTTATAACATTTATATTTTTAGTATTTAACATACAACTTATATCAACTTTATTCTAAACTTTATTCTAAATAAATGTAATTATATTCTAATTTTAATAAATAATAAACACATGATTTTGAATCTGAAATTGTATCTTTGTCTGTTTTAAATTTTGATTAGATAACTCTATTATTTCTTTGACTCTGTGACATTTTGATTTCTTCAAAAATTATTACAATATTCTAAACTAGTAAAATGGCTCTAGATACCCTGAATAATGTACACCAATTAATTCGAAACGTGAACGATTTCGACGGGACGGACAGGAACCAATTACCAGTGTAATGTATTGTAGTGGACCTACCTCACTTACTTCTTAGCCACTTAACATTACTCATAAATAAAAATAGTAAGCAGATTTATGAATTGGTTGCACTTCATGCATACCGTACAAGAAGCATAAGCAAAGCGACATAAACAAAAGAGTTTCATATTACCAACGAAAGTATTGCCACACGCTGTTCCAATTGCTGAACACATGTTACAATATTTTCAATAGTAATATTTCCTATATTGCAAAAGACATGTGCAAGCAATATTGTCAATGCACTCTAATAATAACTTTGACGTTTGACTTAAATGAGCAAACAGTGTAGTCGCTATGCAATGCATTCTGCAAGGTCAGCAATCACTTTGATTGGCTGCGGTTATACTTTTCCAGGTTTTGTCTGGAATAAAGAGGCGGAGTCATGAGATCGCTATAATCTAGAAAAATGTATAAATACCTAAACTATTGTTCAATAAAATCAAGAATATACTTATGACTGCAGAAATATATGTATTGTTGAATTTATTCTCACTCCTTCTGGCCAAGTAACACTGGTCTAGGTACCAGCGGTAACAAGCCGCTTGATAACTTGTTCTTGATTGCATCAGTAGGTTTTGGATGCATGCTCGTATCAGGCAGGAATAATTACACGCACTCACAAGACAAGTATTACGTCTCATTTTACCTGACGATCCTGTCTACATCTGAACGGGTTAACACATTACATGGTGATCCAGCCATTACATTGATTGAATATTGCCCATACATCCATTTATACATTACATGGCGATCCTGCCATTCATTACACTAGTTCCATTACAAAGAAGTTACATTACATGGCAATCATTACATTACATGGCAATCCTGCCATTACATGGCGATCCTGCAGGCTTCAGTGCCAAGCGGACCAATTAGAAACTATACCATTTGAATTAATTGAAATCAACACGATATGGTAGATGAAGCGACCTTCCACGCAATTTTTCGCAAATACGAATTGATACTTCAAGCGACGAACACAAAATCAGAAGAATACGTTCCAGAACAAGTGGTGCAACACGAAGAAGCATATCCGACGTATGTACCAACACCACGGTCAGCCGGCCCAAAAGCAATTACAATAGAAGAATACAAAAGGCGACAAGAGGCAAGAAAAAGACCTACCACACCTGTCAATCCACCACCAAAAAAGAAGCCAAACAGACGGAGAGGAAAAGCATTCCGCCAACGAAAGCAAATTGCTCAACTGTACGAGAGGTACAACCTTCTTTTCTTTCGAGAGGTTGCAGAAAAGAAGAACATCAAGCTGGAGATAAAGGACTTGCGCAGAAACAGGAATAAGAAGAATTAATAAATTATATTTTTTTTATACATCTATATTATATTTTGTATTTTTGTCAAAAAAAAAAATTAAAATTTTTTTTTATTATGAATAATTTCAATTGTTTTGTTTGTGGTAAAAGTTACCATACAAGTAAAAAATTAACTAAACATATAGATAATAAACATTTTAAACTGATAAATTACGTAAATCAACAAATTAAAAATTTATAAGAAAAAAAAAAAAATATTTTTATTACAAAAATGGGATTTTGGAAGAAAATGGTTACTTCAATTCCACTCATATTCACAGGATATGAAATAGGCAAAACAATTGAAAATAAAAACAATAATATTGTAAACAATAATATGTCAAATGTAAGTTATTTAGAAATTATATTATCAATAACTGTAATAATAATAATAATCTCATTTATCGTTAAGCAAGTTTATAAGAAATTAAAACGTAACGTTGTTAGACAACAGGTACAAATATGAATAAGAACATATAATGGCCACATGGCAAAAAATTTACCAAAATATATTAGTCGAAAAAGAAAATTTTAATAAAGCATATAAATGCTTAAATAAAACTATAAAAATCAAGAAAGATACTGTAAACAAGAATTTACAAACACTTTTCTCCACACTTGAATCAATAAGAAGTATACTAAACGTATACAACGAAAAGTTTTCAAAAGAACATAAAGA